CGCTGTTGAAACTGATCAGTGGCTGATTCCAGGAAGCTGGGGGCAGAGCAATTCTGCCTCCAGCTATCTGTAGTCAGCCCCTGGTCAGTTTCAGCAGCAGCGGCTGAATCTGGAGCCAGTTCCGACTTACATACAAATTCAACTTAAGAACAAACCTATAGTCCCTATCTTGTACGTAACCCGGGGACTGCCTGTATACAGAATACAAGCCTTTAGCCCCATTTGCCCCATTATACTCTTAATTCAGCCACTGCATGAGTTTTCTGCCCCCTTTGGGTTAAAATGTGTCCTGGATCCAGAACACAATTTAAAAATGACCTGCTATTGGACAATTCTAAATATTACTAATGAATGAAGGAAAAAATGAAGTAACATTCTGTGTTTCCAAGCTTACGGTCTTATTTTGCAAAGACTCCACTAATATTCCAAAAGCTAGCCCAATTCTTTGGGGAAGTGAAACACGAAGAAAGAAAGGAAGGCTTATATAACCTAATGCCATTACAATTCTCATTTCGAAGCAACACAACTGCTAAAAAGGATAAGCACTAAGCGGCAACACAAAATTTTTGAACAGTGAAAAGAGAATGGAAAAAAGGATCAAGGAAAGCTTTTTTTTTGGAAGAAGGAAGATCTAAAGAATGTGCTAAGAAATGTCTCGACTTTAGTATGCTTAGATTTCTCAACTGGTAATTTTCAGCCTAATTTGTTACAATGTATATAGGCATGGAAAACAGAAAACTGATACACATTTCTGCATCATACAAATTAAAAGCAGGGTAGATGAACTATTTAAATCAATAAGCAGGAACGAGTTTTAACTGTGGTTTTGCACTTGTTTTTTTTTTAATCAAAATGTGATTCTCATTGGTTGCTATCATCTAGCCAGGATGTGCACCAGTTCAGTGGTTTGACTTTCTTTAAAACCTTGGCAGCAAACATGTTGCTTAATTTAATTTTCTATATTTTAATAGAATAAGTTTTAGGCTTTAACATGGTTGGTCATAACTGTTAATTTTAAATGTTTATTTTAAAAATATTTAATGTATTTAATTTAAAGAAATGTAATATTTTTAACAATCTATTTGTATCCATCTGCTATAGAGATCACACTTAGACTTAACAGTTCTTCCCAGTGTAAAATTTGAAAAAGGAAGGAAAAAGAGGGTTTAAAAGCTATGAGCCTACTTCACACTGCAGATTCTCGATACTTAGCACTTGTTTACCAAAATTTGTGACTGAATGTTTCCTGTATCTACTGGTCAAAAACCAAACCCAGAAAATGGAAGTGCAGTAGTAGCAGCTGCACTGCACGATACTGAGAAAGCTTCAACTGTAAAACACTTATGGAAAGAGATACAAAAGTGTTTCCTGGAAAGTTAAAAGAAAAAAGTAGTAAGAGTCAACATACAGGATTTCTATTGAAACAAAAAACAGGACTATGTAGCACTTTAAAGACTAACAAGATGGTTTATTAGGTGATGAGCTTTCGTGAGCTAGACCCACTTCCTCAGATCAAATAGTGGAAGAAAACTGGCACAGCCATATATACTAAAGGATACAATCAAAAATGAACACATATGAAAAGGACAAATTAAATTTCAGAACAGAAGGAGGATGGGGGGGGGGGTGATAATTGGGGAAGCTATCTTTGTAATTGGTAAGATAATTAATGTCTTTGTTTAGACCTAAATGTAAAGTGTCGAATTTAAGCATGAATGACAGTTCAGAGAATTCTCTTTCAAGTCTGGTGTTAAAAGGTCTTTGAAGCAGGATGCAGGTAATCAAGTGATTTGCAGAAAGGCATTTAACAAAAATACAATGACCCTGAAGCATTTGGAAGACAATTTTGAACAGTAGAGACCTAAAGCTTACCTTTTTTATTACAAAGTAGTGACTTCAACTCTTTTTCTATCTGACACCCAGCATTCACTACAGCATTCTGGTGATGCCACACACAGGGCTGAAAGGAACTCAAGTTTCTTACAGGCACTGCTGTGTTGGTCCCCTCCTCAAGAGAAGGGGTCTCAGGGGAGAGAAATAAGGGGGTGTCATGATCATGAGGGTTAGCCAGCAGCCTGGGGACTAAAGCGTTAACCTTACCTAACCAGGTACATTCAGCCAATAGGAATGTAGGTAGGAATTTCAAACTAGGACAAAGGAATGTTTGGTTTTTCCCTCCTTTGTCTCTTAGAGTTCCCTCCAGCTTCTGAGGGAGACAGACATGTCTCTGTCTCCAAGAAACAACTCTTCACTTTCTGTAAGTAGGGTAAAGTTTAGATAAATCCATTAGGTTTTATTGTTTTATGGTTTGGGTATGGGATCTGATGTTTGTGCACTTTAAGAAATGGTTGGCTTTTCTTCGTAACTAAGTTCTAGGCTCATGGAGTTTCTCCTTGAGTATATTATTTGTTACTTTTCCATCTAGGCATTATACTTGCAACAGGGATATTGTGGTGATAATAAAAATTCTCTTTTCTTTGATTAACATGGTATTGGTTAATGGTTATGTCCTGCTTTGCTTTGTACTTCAGGGCTGAGATTTCCCAAGTGATCTCTCCCCTGAGTTTTCACATCAATACTTGGATGGTGGCAGCAGAAGTTTTATTCCCAAAATCTAGGGTTTTAAGATTTTGGGGGGAAGCCTGGTAGATAAGGTTTTGGGGCACTTGCTGGCCCCAACTTCTGCATTTATTGTGCCAGGGTGGGGAAGGAGCCATGACAGGGTGTGTGTTAAATTTCTTACAGGTATGGTTGTAAGTGTGAGGTGGAGTGCGGGGGTGGGGCCCTCAGGACAGATGGTGGGGATGTGAGGGGGTATAGCAGTAGTCCGGCAGGAGTTTGGGGATGAGGAGCTGCTCAGGGCAGTGGGCTGAGGGTGGGAGGGGGGGTGCAGGAGTCAAGGCAGAGGGCTAGGCATGTGGGGGATACAGGAGTCAGGATTGGGGTGTGAGAGGAGCTCGGGGCAGGGGGCTGGGAGTGTGGATGGCTCAGAGCAGGGAGGATGTGTGTGGGGGGTGCAGGAGTACAGCAGGGGGCTCAGCTGGTGTGTGTAGGGGTGAATAGGTGGGACAAGGGCATCATTTCTGGAGGGTAAGGGGGCTTCCCTAGCTTCCGCCGGCTCTCAGGGAGCAAAGGTAGAGTGCATTGCCTGTGTGCATTTCTCCTCTGTCCCTCCCCTGGACAGCTGGGACCAAGGGGAACGTAGCACACTGCATTTTCCCCTCACTCAACAATCAGGGAAAAAAGGGTAAGAAGAGCAGCAGCGACTGGTATGTTCAGCTGCAGCCCCTCCCACCTCCTGCTATCCTGAAATGGTGCCCACGGGAAGAGGCTTGGGCAGTCCTGGACCGGGGTGTGTGCATGTGTGTGCATGTGAGACACACAATGCTCCCAGCCAGCCCCTTTAACCTGTCTGGTTTCCTGCTGCTTTGTGCAGCAGCCTGCAGGAAGCCCCAAAAGCCAAGCTAGGATGACACTGTCCCTCCCAATGCAGCAGAGTGCCTCAGCCAGCTGGCTTTTTGCCAGAATGCAGCAGGAGGCACACCGCTTTACTTTCACCTCTGGCCACACACCATTACAGATTCCTACTGGAGCCACCCTTTTGTGATCACACAAAACTTACTAGATTTAAAATATTATGCCTACTTGTAATATTTTTAATACTCTAATTGTATGAGGCAATATTTCATTTCCTCGTCCTCCCTCCACTACAACATTGCTAAAGAATGGTTCCAGTCTAACAGAGTTATGAAGTTCTGTGATGTGTCTTGAAACTGGTGCACTGAATGCTGGGGAGTCACATTACCAGAAAAAAGATCATTTCAATAATTCATATCCCGAACAATCGTCTTACCCTCGCTATTTGAGGAATTCTGCATATAATTCTAATGTTGAATTTTAGTTAATCCTGTTTTAGGGTAACCATCAAGCCTTGTCAAAAGCTCTACTAACATTAACATACTTAAAGGATAATGAAATATTTGTATCTAAATAAAGAGATCTGGCTGTATTTTTATACGGTTAGGATATTAATGTCTGCCTCCAATCAATATGCAACTGTCAAGTGGTTGACTCCATTAATCTGACAGGTATATAAATATCAATATTTCTGCCCCGGGGAAGACTTAGGCCTTTCCTGTCTGGGTCCCGTTCTCCACTGGCAAGAAAAGCTCTATCACACTCTTGGGACGGTCTTCAACTGCTGCCAGATATCGTGTGGGTACTTTTAAATGCATCATGTATTCCAAGTCTCTTTGCTGGTCTGTATTATTTACAAGGATTGCTTTTTAATATGTACCGAGGGGTGCCAAGGCAATAAGTGAGAGACATTAGGAAACAGTCTTATAAAATCTGACATATAAAGCCTGCAGAAAAAATGTCTTTTGACAGTCATTCCTGTATATTTAAGAGTGTTACAATGAATCACTGGGCACCTGGCAGCTAAGTAGAGCTCAGTACTTTAAACTTTGGTTGGACAATATTTTAAAACACATTTACTAATTTCTTTCAAGAAACTGTGTGCGCTCTTTACTGCTTAGAGTTTCTTACAAACCCTGACTACATTATTAAAGAAAGGATTAAGAAAATATTTAAAAAGGAATCATGCTAGTTAGGCTAATTTCATACCTGCTTTATGGCTGTTACGGTTATGACAAAGAATAATGGCAATCCACTTGTAATAGGACTGGTAGGTGTATCTATCATAAGCTACAGGAAATGAGAGTGAGAATAATGTTAGTACCAGATAATTCTTAAAATCTTATAAAAAACAAAAAAACACCACTTTACTCCACATGAGAAAAATTTATGTAAAAGCAGTGATCTTTTTTTATTACATATTCTATAGCCATTCTAAATGGAAAACTCCCCTTGATGTCAGAAGCAATTCTCCTAAAAGGTGACAATATTGACATACAGTGCAGACAGAATATCCATGGTGAGGATCACAGAAGAGAATTTCTCCTGCAGTTTGCAGTGTATATCACATATTTTGATTTAAAGACTCTTAAATAATCAAAATAAGATTTTTTTTCCTAACAAGTTGAATTAAAGAAATATATTATATAAAACTGCTTTATACCACACAAAGAACTAGCTTATCACAATATAAAGTGGGATAAACAGCTTCTTAATTTCAAACTGAAAGCAAAAACTTCCTGGAGCTTGATCTTTGGCACATAAATTAAAGAATCTCCTTGCTCATATTACCACTTTCTGACTCCCACGAGAGAATCTTGCAGATTTTACATTTTGTGTTCCAACTGTTGTACAAGTTATACCTCCCTTAACCGGTAGGACCACGGATGTTCCTGGACGACAGAGTCCAGGTATAAGGAGGTCAGGCCGCAGGGGAGGAGGGGCGTGACTCGGCCAGGAGCCCCATGTGGAGGGAGCGGGGAGCAGCAGGGAGTTCTGGCCCCTGCTACCGGGCGGTAGCGGGGGGGGCTGGCAGCAGCTGCAGAGTTCCAGCAGCCACGGAGCCTCAGCCCTGGCAGCCCCAGAGCTTCATTCTGGGGAGCCATGGCCAGGCAAGCAGCAGCAAGGTTCAGCTGGAGTTTTAGCCGGGGGTAGCAAGGGCCACGTTGGGAGGAACCTCCCCTCACTCGGCAAATCTCCTTTTTTGGGACTAGTCAGGTCCTGAGGGTGCCTGACGAGGGAGGTACAACCTCTAGTGCCAAATACAGTGCAAACACTAATAATCTCTGCATGCGTTTCTCTCTATTGTAGGAACAATACTACTTTTCAGGATAAACTAACTTAAAGGGCTGCAGATACAGAGTAATTCAAAGTATTAATATTAATTTAAGAACATTATTAGATCTGTCTGAAATTGTCTAATAATTGTTGTTGCCCCTCTCTGTACCTTTTCCAATTCCAATATATCTTTCAGGTAGAGCAAACAGAACAGCATACAATATTCAAGATGGGGCCATACCATACATTTATATAGTCACATTATGATTTTTCTGTCTCATCTGTTCCTTTGATAATGGTTCCTAATATTGTTGTTAGGGACGTAAGCGACTAGTTGATTAGTTTACTACTCAATAAGCTGAGGCTTATCCGGTACTTGAGTCACTACTGTATCAGAAGCAGCAAGAGAAGGGGAGAAACAGGAGCCAGAATTGGGGGGAGTCTGCTTAAAAGCTGGTTCCCCCCAGCACCGTCTCTGCAGTGCAGGGTGAAGGGAGAGGTGTGGCAGGGGAGGCAGGGATCACTTGCCCTCTCAGCTAGGGATCACAACAGAAGAAGGGGCACCTCTAATCTATTTTCTTGTGCACGCCCCCAGTCGAGTTTCACTGGCCACATTTCAGACTTTAGGGAAATGCTGCAACTGTATTATAGACACTAGAAATGACTTTAATTGACACATGCTCTTTCAATTAAAGAGATTTAAAATATATAAAACCTATAAATACTGAAAGTAATATTTCAAATTTGAGCTAAAGTTCAGTGCAGCTTAACTAGATAAGCCTTCAAAACCCTCATGAAATAGCTATAGCACCTTTAAAAAAAGATTAAAAAAAAAGACAAAATGTAAGTGATTTGCCCAAGATGTAGAATGTATTCTCAGTTCTGCTAGTCAACCCCATTTTCTAGCTCTATATTCACACTAATACAGTTTCTCTTATGAAATTATGAGTTTTATTCAAACTTACCTGAACCAAAAATATAATAAGAAAATAAAAATTGGCTATTCTTCTGAATTGCTCAAATAAGTTTTTTGGAATAAAATTCCACACTGTATACTGTAAAGAAAAAAAGAAATGTGATTATATAACATGGCATTGCATATATTTTCCCTCAAACCCTTCTCACTTACCTCCCATTCTCTTCCTAACAAATCCTTCACAACCTTCTTCTCTTGTGTCTCACACCCCAGATCCTCCCCAAAGTAGGGATGTTAAAATGTGTTTTTGTGTAAACATGTAACTGTTGAAATTTTTAGCAGCTGCATGTTTATATGCAGGGAAGGTGGCTCCCCACGCACACCAGCTCCTGCCTCCCCCACCCCCTGTGCATCGGAGGCAGCAGTGCCGGGGTGGGGTGGAGGGCTGCCAACTCCTAGCCTGCATGGGCTGGGAGCTGTTAGCCTTTCCCCCTCTCCTGCTGCTGCTTCCGCAGTGCTTCTACTCATGAAGCTACTAATTCCCAGGCTGGAAGCCAGTAGCTCCCTGGGACTGGAGCTGCCCTCTGTCCATAGTGGGCCATGGGTGAGGGCCTGCCTGTGGGTAACTGTCCACCCGTTCCCCGGTGGCATCACCCTCAAGGTTGATGCTTACCAGTTACCCATTCACATCCCTAGTGGGTGTCGGAATGGTTATGTAGAGACAGCTTTCTCCTTCTCACTGAGCCCATCGGTGGTTTGCCAGCTGGTGGTTACTGGGAAGGGGGAAGATTTACTGAGGCTGCTCCAGCAGCAGCAGATATTGCTATCTGCTGCCTTCTGTCTTTACACTCTAGCCCAGCGGTTCCCAACCATTTTTATACCATGGACCAGCAAACCCATTCGCAAACTTTTGGCGGACCAGTAATGTTGTATTTGCATATTTATTATGGCAATTAATTTTAAGAGGATATATATTATTTTACATTGCATCTGTACCCACACAATACATGTTGTAACGGGATCAGAATTTGCAGATAGGCTTAAGGCTTGGTAATTTGAGAGATGCCCTCTCTAAGTAGAGATGTGAATATCTGGAGGTCATGTAGGGCCAGTAGATCTCATGGTTCAAGACTCCTCTTTTTTGAGGAATTTTACCTGAGAATATCGGTCAGTGGGCAAACAGATTTTTGTATTTTGCAGGGCAGGATGAGAAGTGCAAAGAGGAGCAGCAGAAGGGGCCTTTAACTTTGGTTGTGAAGTGATTTGCTGTTTTACATGATGTACATGTGCCATGAAACTAACTAGGATATTTTATAAATTATATCTATTTATACACTATCCCCACACCAGATGCACAGATACTCCATAAAGACCAATCACCATTTAGGATGTTATTAATATTTTTGACAATGTACATGGATCCTTACCTTAGATGATATGATTCTGTTATCTGCAAATTTCTGAGGAACATAATGGCCATGCTGGGGGAAACGATTTGCTATGTAAATAGTTCGTGTATCACTTTGATGTGGTGGGTCAAAACCCTGAAAGGCAAATGTAAAACTCAGTTAATCAACAGGCAGGTAATTTTGCTTCAAAACTAGTTTTGGACACAGATGGCATGTGAGATTCTGCTAATCTTTAAAATAAAATTGAGAATCAAATTTTAATAAGTCTTAGAATAGCAAATTATTACTTGAACACAAAGATTAACATATTTGGGCCAGGAAAGTTGTTGTTTGTGTGCTGTCAGGAGACTTGTTTTTTAAATGTCATTTAAACACATTCTTGATTTGTGGGTTTTTTTTAAAATTTCTATTGTATTTAAAAGTGACGACATAATCAACTGACAACAAATCTAAATTTGTGTGGAGTGTTTTCCTTCCTTATGGGACACATGTTACAAAAAACTTTAGACAGAAGAGCACATGCAGCTATGCAAAATGAAGGTAAAGGTTACTATCTCACAGGTAAATACAGAAATCCCCCAGAGAAATGGCAGTTTGGCTAAGACAGCATAAGAGTAAGGAGGAGAGAAGCAAAAATGGAAAACAAAATACAGGTGACAAAGATACTCATAGCTGAACTTTTAAAAGCCATACAAATGCTGATCATAATTTAACCATATACAGAAGAATCATGCTAACATACTACTGTACTATAATTGAAGTTTCAAAAAGAAACGACCAGTGGAAAATAAAGTAACAGACTAAACATTAATTTCCCCTTTCCCAAAAAAGTAATGATTTCCTGCCTAAAAACAACAAAAAACATGTTTACTGTAGAAGATTATTTTTTTTAAATCCCCCGCCCCCTCCACACACACACACTATTATGATCAGTTCAGATCCAATGATGTTAACGGTAGGAACATTGTGTTTTGTAGACTTGCTGATCAGAGTTAGACAATTTTAGAAGTGAAAATTAATCCCACAGTGCTGCCTGTGATGCAAGGCTTCTTCCAAGAGCAGATATTGCACCTGGGGCTTGGTCCCACTTCTGGTGCTGCTGAAGCTCACACTGCCAGCTGCACTGGAATCAGAGCCAGCAAAACCACACACACCAATATCTGCTGCTGACCTAGTTTTGATAAGAGGTCAGGAAGAGCCACTATCACAAAAGGGGATAAAGGGACAGACCAGACAACATTGCCTGAGAGCAAGGGCTGCTTCAACAGCTGAGCAAGGGCAAATCTCAGGTCTCTACTACAAGACTGTTCTTTGCCATCTGAAATATTACAGGAGAACCAGTCTTGTCCCTATGTGCCATAACTATTACCCTCCTTGCAGGGATTATGCTTGCTTTTTGCCTAATCTACCATTTTTACTTGTTCTCACAAGGAAATAGGGGAAGGGAAACAACAAGTATGATGTTTCTAGAAAGTTGTGTGCGCTCTCAAATTTCGTGTCCAAATCCTACAATTTTAAAGGAGACCAAATTGTTTTGGGGACACAAATTGACAAAAATTGCAAGGAAGGGATGGAGGCGGAAGGGGATGCAGTGACACAGATGCCATTTGTGCCACTGAGGTCAGACAATTCTGGCCAATTTTCCAGAGGGCTGATCCTTACCCTCAAGCTCAACAAGGCTATGACACCTGCCTTGCAAGTGCTATGGAAAGAAAGACATTCCAGGAAACAAATTACTTGACAAGAAGGGGAAAGAACTATTACTGATAACAAACCTTACTCCCTCAATAACTTCCTTTATGAATCCCTATTCTTGGGAAATGCTTGGGTGAGTCTGCTCTGTGGGAGAACAATCTCAGAACTGAGGCTGATTACAAGCCAAGCTTCATGCCTTCTTAGCAAGGCTTTAGAAGAAAGTCTCAGCACCAAGAATTTCTTTTCATGCGTATTTCTGATCATGCAAATTTGGCATCAGCCTTAACTAGATGAGTCATATCTAAGAATTCCTTTATGGCTCCCTTACCAGATCCTCAGCACTGGACTACAGAACTGGCTTTAAAAATCTAGTCCAACAGAGGGAGTCTTAGGTAGCTTTTCTACTCCCTTTGGGTGTGAGACGAAGCAAATATTAGTTTAGATCAGTGGTGGGCAATCTGAGTCTGATCACTGTCGCCCATCAGACAGTTTGTTTAGAACTGGCTCCTTTCCAGTGTTGCCAGATTCTGTTGGTTTCTGTCCATAAAGTTTTTTTTCCCCTATTGGTATTACTCAAGTGACACACGGAGAAACCAAGCGCATGTGAAGTGAGATACCTGCTGAGTGCACACTTAAGAGAGTTGTGTGCTCCCTCTGCATCCAATCAAAGAGCTGCTATAGGTAAGTCGGCATAGCTCGCAAATTCTAGGTACACAAGCACAGTTAGCAAAACTACCCTATTCCAGGAGACCATCTTGTTTATGACTATCTTCCAGCTCACTGAGATGAAGGCCTAGGCTGCCCATTGCTGATTTAGATTATGCCTCTCAGCTGATAACTTAGACATCTTACCTGGTCATTAGTAACAAACAAAAATCACAGAATGCACATGATCTAAAGCTAGCCTTTTTATCTGTATAAATCATGGAAAAAACCGGGCAAATAAATGAAGGCAACAATTATCCCAAATCCAGTAATGATAGACACAAACCAACACCAAATGAGAATTGTAGAAATAAGGGCACAATCTGACAAAGCCAGACCTGAATAAAGCCATAAAAATGCTGAAATTAAAAATCCAACAAGGCAGAACAAGCAACACAGCACAAAGCCTAAGCATAAGCTCAAAGGTTATTATCTTTTCTCTATTATTCTTCAGATTACAGTCTAGGCAAGATACTTTTCACCTAGGCTTAACCCTCATTTCTAGTATGTATGGATGTGTTTTATAAGGCCACACTAGTAACATAGATAGGGTTGAAAAAAGTTCAATTCTTCTGCTTTATAAACTACAAAGCATAAAGCTGGCTTTTGCAATAAAGCAACTCAAAGAGGATTCCTTACTTATTAAAAACTATAATCACAGGTAACAAATGCAACAGACCTTAAAATTAAAGCAGCAATATTAAGCACTTTGAAAACTGTCATATTAAAATTGCTTTCAGTGCTTGACAAAGCCCATCAGAGATCCATACATTCATACTCAATTTGTAAGCATGAAATTGATTGCTACCAAAAAAGTGATAGACAATGTGATAAATATAAATGCAACAAAAACATTGATAAGAAAAATACTTCAGGCCTGAATGTTCTTTCATATACTTGCGCAGGGTTTTCGTTTATTGATCTTAAAAGAACCATATACAAAAGTGGGTAAGTATTACAGCAGTGGGGAATATAAAGTACTTGTCAAACTATTTATGGAACCAAATAGAATAACTTACAGATCAAACATGACCCCTGTCATGCAGAACTTAACTTAATTCAGAAAACAAGATGACAATATACAAAGAAAGGTGCAAGAACAATTAAGGAAGGTTTTATAAGAATCTGAAGAATAAAACTTTTAACAGAGAAGAAGTGAAAGTCTGTTCTATGTATAGTGTCGGGCAAGAAAAAGGTACAAAGACAAAACTGGGACAAACACACAAAGGGTATGTCTAAGACTAGAAAAAAAAGTCTGTGGCAGTGCATCTCAGGGCCCAGGTCAATTGACTCATGGGGCTCGCAGTAAGAGACTAAAAATAGCAGCGTAGATATTTGGGCTCAGGCTGGAGCCTGATTTTTGTAACCTTCTGAGGGTGATAGGTTTCAGAGTCTGGACTCCAACCTGAGCCTAAACATTTACAGTAAAACTCCATTAGTCTGGCATCCAATGCTCCGGGACTCCTGATGGTCCAGCACCATCAGGAACCCAGAAGTGCTGGGGCAGCCGGACAGGCTTCCCCCATTCAGCTGCTGCTGAAACTGACCAGCAGCTGAATCAGGGAAGCCGGGAGCAGAGCAGCTGGGGTGCTGCCGGGTTGGTTTCGTAGCGCCGCCCCTCGGCGCTGTGGGACCAACCCCGCAGTGCCCCAGCTACTTTGCCCCAGGCATCGGGATTCAGCCGCTGCTGAAACTGACCAGCAGCGTCAGTTTCACCAGCAGGCTGAATCCGGACAGCTGGGGCGCTGCCGGGTTGGTCTCGTAGCACCGGCCCAACCCGGCAGCATCCCAGCTGCTCTTGGGGACGCCTGGGGCAGAGCAGCTGGAGTGCTGCCGGGTTGCTCCCTCACTCCCCTCTCCTCCCCCCCCCCATAGAATCATAGAATACTAGGACTGGAAGGGACCTCGAGAGGTCATCGAGTCCAGTCGCCTGCCCTCATGGCAGGACCAAATACTGTCTAGACCATCCCTGATAGACATTTATCTAACTTACTCTTAAATATCTCCAGAGATGGAGATTCCACAACCTCCCTGGGCAATTTATTCCAGTGTTTGACTACCCTGACAGTTAGGAACTTTTCCTAATGTCCAACCTACCTCCCTTGCTGCAGTTTAAGCCCATTGCGTCTGGTTCTATCCTCAGGGGCCAAGATGAACAAGTTTTCTCCCTCCTCCTTATGACACCCTTTTAGAGATCTGAAAACTGCTATCATGTCCCCCCTCAATCTTCTCTTTTCTAAACTAAACAAACCCAATTCCTTCAGTCTTCCCTCATAGGTCATGTTCTTTAGACCTTTCATCATTCTCGTTGCTCTTCTCTGGACCCTCTCCAATTTCTCCACATCTTTCTTGAAATGTGGTGCCCAGAACTGGACACAGTACTCCAATTGAGGCCTAACCAGCAGAGAGAGAAGAGTGAAAGAATGACTTCTTGTGTCTTGCTCACAACACACCTGTTAATGCATCCCAGAATCATGTTTGCTTTTTTTGCAACAGCATCACACTGCTGACTCATATTTAAACTTGTGGTCCATTATAACCCCTTTCTGCTGTACTCCTTCCCAGACAGTCACTTCCCATTCTGTACGTATGAAACTGACTGTTACTTCCTAAGTGGAGCACTTTGCATTTGTCTTTATTAAACTTCATCCTATTTACCTCAGACCATTTCTCCAATTTGTCCAGGTCATTTTGAATTATTACCCTATCCTCCAGATTAGTCGCAACCCCTCCCAGCTTGGTATCATCTGCAAACTTAATAAGCGTACTTTCTATACCAATATCTAAATCGTTGATGAAGATACTGAACACAGCCAGTCCCAAAACAGACCTCTGCGGAACCCCACTTGTTATGCCTTTCCAGCAGGATTGTGAACCATTAATAACTACTCTCTGAGTACGGTTATCCAGCCAGTTATGCACCCACCTTATAGTAGCCCCATCTAAGTTGTATTTGCCTAGTTTATTGATAAGAATATCATGCGAGACCGTATCAAACGCCTTACTAAAGTCTCAATATACCACATCCACCGCTTCTCCCTTATCCACAAAACTCGTTATCCTATTAAAGAAAGCTATCAGATTGGTTTGAAATGATTTGTTCTTTACAAATCCATGCTGGCTGTTCCCTATCACACTGCCACATTCCAAGTGTTTACAGATGATTTCCTTAATTACTTGCTCCATTATCTTCCCTGGCACAGAAGTTAAACTAACTGGTATGTAGTTTATAGCAGCAATACTTGTTGAGGAAAAAAAGCAACAGGCCAAAAAACAAAAATAGCAGCAAAACTTGGGCGGGATTAATGGGGGGGCTGGGTCACCTCACACCCCCCGCCCCCCTAGCTTGGGAACACATGCTTTATACTATAACACAAAGAAATATTTATAGATCTGCTGTTGAACAGTAACTATACAATTTGCATTACTATCACAAGATGTATACATATTATGAACTTCATATTATCTCCCACCTTCTATCAGTAATTCCTCTGTTGATCATTCAAACTGGAGAGAAAGATGAGACACATTATCATTTGCTTTGAAAAAGAAAGAATGCAATTTCAGAATCTCATGTAGAAATATTTATAGATCTGCTGTTGAACAGTAACTATACAATTTGCATTACTATCACAAGATGTATACATATTATGAACTTCATATTATCTCCCACCTTCTATCAGTAATTCCTCTGTTGATCATTCAAACTGGAGAGAAAGATGAGACACATTATCATTTGCTTTGAAAAAGAAAGAATGCAATTTCAGAATCTCATGTGTAGACATATTTGGAAACATTTCCCTTACTCAGAATACATGCAGAAAAGTCAAAAGCAACACTGACCAAGCAAAGAGAACTCAGAGCCCTGCACCATCACCATATATTAACAAAGAGAGTAAACTTGAGACCTTTATAGGAGGCCACTTCCCTAGGGAGGGGAGTGACTCTGACCCAGCCTGTATGGAATCTGAACTTTTACCCTCTGGGAAACAGCCCACTGTTCTGCTAGATAGATTGCTGAACCTATTTAGATTTTGTTAAATAAAAAAATTAATAAGAAAATCCATCTTCTGAAAACTATTTTATTTAGTGACTAGTTTTCCTATGGCAGAAAAAGACCTGCTTACATACACTATATATACTCAGAAGTCTGTACAAATGTGTACTTTTATAGACGACTAATTCTTCTAGGCATATCGATGTACTTAAGTCAAACAATTTTTCATATCAAAGGTTACAACAGAAGAGGGAAAAACCTTTCTTGCACCTATTTTAAGCACAGCTTCAACTAGAGAAAAAAAAAAAAGAGTGAAGAACCTCAGGTACCCTCAGGCTTATGTGTTTCCATGCAAATTTGTTCTTTTAAAGGACTACTGTTACACATTCCTTCCGGTTCTAAAAGATGCACTGCAGCAATGTTAAAAAGAAAAAAAGTAACTATCACATACTATTTTTGCAATTTCCTCTTCCTCCTTATCTCTATCATTGCTGCTTACCACATTTTGTAACCAATTCACATTGTATTTCAAAATCAGATATTTATTTTGATGGGAACACAAGTGTTCCCAGTAGTGAGATGAAAATTCAGTAAGGTAGTGCTCTTCTGAAAGAAAAAAACTCAGCATGGTGTTTGGGAAACTGTAATGCTATTTATCACGATGCTTTGTGGATTTTTAAAAAAAGAGTAAGGCTGTAAATCAAAATGCTCTGAATGAATTCCAATTTAAACAGAACTTAACTGCCTATCTAAATTACCCCCATAATTTTTTTTTTTTTTTTAAAGAGCTACCATTATTTCTTTAGGGTCATTCAATGATGCTGTACTTTACTGTGGTAGTTTTGTCCACAGAAGCAATTGTGATGTCAAACAATGGATTTCTGACATCACTAAAAAAAGAAATGAAAAGCAATATGAACAAGAAGGTGACTGTTCTGTTTACACAGACCTCTTGGTAACCAAGTCTAATTGTAAAGAAAGTATAAAAAGTCATAATTTAAAACAAAACTGAATTCCTAAAACTCTTAAGAGCATTAAGTCATTGAAACGCCTCTGCAGCAGAAGTAAAAAAAAAGTTGCCATAATCAATATGGCAGCATACACATACAGCACATAACATTTAACTATTTTCTCATACAAAATTTGTTCTTACAGAAATCTGAGACCTTTCTGTACCCCTCCCATCCAAAAATTCAAGCTCTCTCAGTCTGGAGAACATTAAATAGGTAAAGTGTAACACAATACAGGCAGTCCCCGGGTTACGCGGATCTGACTTATGTCGGATCCGTACTTACAAACAGGGCTTTTCTTGCCCCGGAGGACGCGGGCGGCGGAACTGCGGTGCGTCTGGGCGGTCCCACTGCCCGCGTCCTCCGGGGTGAGAAAAGCTGCTCCGTGTCTCCCAAGCCTGCTGGGGGGGGGGACCCCTCAGAAGACCGGGGAGACGTGGAGCAAAGCCGCGGAGGACGCGGGCGGCGGAACTGCGGTGCGTCTGGGCGGTCCCACTGCCCGCGTCCTCCGGGGTGAGAAAAGCTGCTCCGTGTCTCCCAAGCCTGCTGGGGGGGGGGACCCCTCAGAAGACCGGGGAGACGTGGAGCAAAGCCGCGGAGGACGCGGGCGGCGGAACTGCGGTGCGTCTGGGCGGTCCCACTGCCCGCGTCCTCCGGGGTGAGAAAAGCTGCTCCGTGTCTCCCAAGCCTGCTGGGGGGGGGGACCCCTCAGAAGACCGGGGAGACGTGGAGCAAAGCCGCGGAGGACGCGGGCGGCGGAACTGCGGTGCGTCTGGGCGGTCCCACTGCCCGCGTCCTCCGGGGTGAGAAAAGCTGCTCCGTGTCTCCCAAGCCTGCTGGGGGGGGGGACCCCTCAGAAGACCGGGGAGACGTGGAGCAAAGCCGCGGAGGACGCGGGCGGCGGAACTGCGGTGCGTCTGGGCGGTCCCACTGCCCGCGTCCTCCGGGGTGAGAAAAGCTGCTCCGTGTCTCCCAAGCCTGCTGGGGGGGGGGACCCCTCAGAAGACCGGGGAGACGTGGAGCAAAGCCGCGGAGGACGCGGGCGGCGGAACTGCGGTGCGTCTGGGCGGTCCCACTGCCCGCGTCCTCCGGGGCAAGAAAAGCCCTGTTTGTAAGTACGGATCCGACATAAGTCAGATCCGCGTAACCCGGGGACTGCCCGTATATACACACGCACACACTGATTTTAATTAACCAATTAACCATACTACTTTTATCACTGAATGGCTGAATTCAGGATGCATGGCTAAAATAGATTCAAAAATTCTTCTAAACTATGTTTTGTTAGCCAAAACAGAAATTAAAGTCAAATGAGAATTTATAGCAAATAAGATAGTACAAACAATTAAATGGCAATGTTTACAAAGTTTACATGTATTCATTTTATCAGTAAATAGATCTATTCAACTCTTATCACAAAGCAGTACATTTGCTTACATTCTTCAGTATTCTGGAGAAGGGATTTTGGCATTTATGTGGAAGAATGGATCTTCATACAAGTTTCTGTGAATTTTCAAACCAATCAAAACAAAAATTGTGAATCAATGACTATTCATGCAAAAGTAATTCTAAAATTAAAAATTTAAACAACTTTAAAAAAAATCTTTTTTATGGATATCACCATTGTTCTAATTTTCTTAAGTGTCCAGCATGTGATTTTGTCTTATTTTGCACAATTGCACACCCAAGAGGAATGCTAAGTAAGGAGCTTATCTTTCAACAGGACTTATAACAAGAGTCCCAGATATACTGGACAAACTGATCATCATCAGAAATGGCAGAATCGCAAGTAGGGCTTACAAATGAGATGTCCCCAAATTAATAATGGGGTGAAACCTTTACTGTTTACAGGTTCCAGAATGCAATATTCAGTTTTACTCCAATAGGCAACTGTGGTCTAGTGGTTTAAGCACTGGATTCAGGATGTCTTGAACTAGGCATTATTTATCCCAATACTAATCTTCAGTTGTCTTTGTGCCTTCAAGTAAGTAATTTAACCTCAGTTTCCCTATCTACAAATATCACAATCCTCTGGGAGGGAAGATAATATAAAGATTAAGATTTTCAAGTGACTAGTAAGGATGTCAATGCATAGTCAACTACATGATTAATCCATAAATGTCACCCGTGCTTTGCTAGCAGAAATGACCTTTTGTTTCTAGAACCACTTTGTCAAATGAATTCTATTACTGCTCTTGCCAGGTGGCTCTTCATGTAACCAAAGGATTTTTGCACCTTTTTAAAGCATGGATATCAAAGCCAGGTTCCACATTAGTTATGTGAGGTCAAGACTATCCAGGCCAACAGTAGAAGTAAGAGACCCCAGACAAATGTAATCTACTATTGACTGCTCTGAGTCAGGATTCTTTCAATTTTAATTAAATAAAGAAGGAATTATTTCACATTCTGCATTTTCCTTTCATTTCCATTATAAAACAAAATAATCAGAATTTAAGTTGTAAGCAAATTACACTGAAGTCAATCAACTCATCTAACGATAGGGAAAAATAATAATACATAGAACATTACCTGTAATTTCATAGAAAAAAATTAAATTGTAATCCAGACTGCAGTAACATTAAATTATTAAATAAACACATTGTTCTGCATTATTTGGGTAATATTTTCACATTTTTGAAAGATATTTTGTCCTTGTGTAGTTCTTTCATCTTCCAGTATTTTATAAACAGTGAACTCCATAGTGTCCTAGTTTGTTACCATACACTCACCTAGCTAAATACATGGAGTTTGTCATCATACATCACACCTTCTATTCTAAGAACTAAGGTAACAGTCCAGATACAATAGTACAAATAAAAGCATCTTGGATGGGCAATAAGCAGCCCATGGATTGGCCATAGTTTGCCTCAGTTAGCCCCTGACAGGCTGCTAGATGCTTTTTTAATTCAAGTGTTCGCAGGTAGACCATTTGCAGCTTCCATTAATATACATTTATTAGGAATCTGACTCTGCATACTGCACCTATATGCTTGGATAGATTCACTCTTGGATAAAAGAGAAACAAGTATCCTAGATGATTAATGAATATTTTAGATCCATTAGATGAATTATATTGCTTAACCACATCTGGATCAGAGAATAGGCAACTCTAGGCCTGCCAGAGGGGGATCATAGATGGGAAATATGCAAGTTATTCACTTATTCTTAAAGAAAATCTTTTAGCCAGTTACACCAAAATTAGATTTTCAGACAGGTTACTTGTCTGATTTCCCATATCTAAATACTCAAAGATACTCAAGAATGGAACAACAATGCTTTATCTGATATACTGCAAATTATCACTAACTGCTCTTTCAAATTTGACACATTTCACTCCAGAACACTAGCATTTCAAAAGCAGCACATACAACTTCAAAAATGTATTGTTTTAAAGTGTCGTCATTACTGTTAAAAAGCAAAATGACACTTCTCGTTCTGTGTTAATGAAGTGTTCTATGAGGGACACCTACCTAGAATATATCACCAGACATCACTATATCAGGAGAAATAAGCTGGAGTGCTGATGAGAAGCAAAATCACAAAGTAGCTGCCATTCTTCTCTGATGGCTTACAGGATAACCTATCCTAAATGCTCAATTCTGAGGGATAATCTACACTCATTCCTATATTTGCTTCCTACAACCAACCTCTTTATAACTTTTCATGAGTGAAATATTCAATTACTTAGATCCTTAATATCTAAACTGTGTCACTAAAATTATTCTGGAGCTGATAGAGGAGATATCTGAGCCTTTAGTTATTATCTCTGAAAAGTCACTGAAGTCGGGAGAGATTCCAGAAGACTGGAAAAGGGCAAATATAGTGCCCATCTATAAAAATGGAAAGAACAACCACCCAGGAAACTACACACCAGTCAGTTTAACTTCTGTGCCAGGGAAGATAATGAAGCAAGTAATTAAGGAATTCATCTGCAAACACCTGGAAGATAATAAGGTGATAGGTAACAGCCTGCATGGATTTATAAAGAACAAATCATGTCAAACCAATCTGATTGTTTTTCCCGAGTTTAATGGTAAGGTCATGCAAGACTGTATCAAATACTTTACTGAAGTCTATATATACCATGGTATAGCACATCCGTCCCTTCTCCTTTACCCGCAAGACTTGCTATCCTATCAAAGAAAACTATCTAGATGGGGCTACTATCAAGTGGGTGCAAAACTGGCTGGATAACCACTCTCAGAAAGTAGTTATTAACGGTTCACAATCATGCTGGAAGGGCATAACAAGTAGGGTTACGCAGGTATCTGTTTGGGACTGGTATTTTTCAATATCTTCATTAACAATTTAGAAAGGATCACAGAAAGTATGATTATTAAGTTTGCAGATGAAACCAAGCTGGGAGGGGTTGCAAGTTCTTTGGGGAATAGAGCAATAATTCAAAATGATCTGGACAAACTAGAGAAACGGTCAGAGGTAAACAGGATGAAGTTTGATAAGGACAAATTCAAAGTACTCCACTTGGGAAGGAACAATCAGTTTCACACATATAGAATGGAAATTGATTGTCCAGGAAGGAGTACTCCTGAAAGGGATTTAGGGGTCATAGTGGATCACAAGCTAAATAGGATTCAACAACCTGACATTGGTGCAAAAAAAGAAAACATGATTC